GTGTGGCTCAGTGGATTGAGTGCTGGCCTGTAAACCATGGGGTCACCAGTTCTATTCCCAGTCAGGGCACATGTCTGGTTTGTGGGCCAGGTTCCCATTTGGGAGCATGAGGAAGGCAATCAATTGATGTATCTCCCTCACATCTATGTTTCTCTCCTTGTCTTTCTTCCTCCCTTCCTCTCTCCAAAGATGAATAATAAAACCTTTTAAAAAAACAATAAGTGTATTTACTGTATAGTTGTGACTATATATCAGATACGTATGTATATACAGAGATGAGAGAGAAAAGTGAAAGAAAATGCCAACATGCTAAATGGGATGATAAGTATTTTTTCTCTTTGTTTTCTAAATTTTATGTAAGATATTTTACTTTTATAATACAGTATAAATGCCTTTTTGGTAAGTATATCTGGCTATTTACCCCCATGCTCCTTAGGTTTGCCCCAGGCCTTATCTCATTTTGCTGCTGGCACTTAACCTAGTGTTAAAACAATGAGAAGCATTAAAAATCTGTTGTGTTACAGAAATGGGATTTTTGCAAACTATTTTCAGCAGAGGATAAAATCCCTGAATGAAATCTCTACTAATTATGTAATAAATAATTATGACTTGAGATGCAATAAAACCTATTATTTTAAAAGATACTTGCAGCCCTGGCTGGAGTAGCTCAATGGATTGAGCGCAGGCTGGGAACCAAAGTGTTGCAGGTTCGATTCCTAGTCAGGGTACATGCCTGGGTTGCAGGCCATGACCCCTAGCAACTGCACATTGATATTTCTCTCTCTCTCTCTTTCTCCCTCCCTTCCCTCTCTAAAAATAAATAAATAAATATATATTAAAAAAAAAAGATACTTGCAAGCCCTGGCTGGTATAGCTCAGTGGATTGATCGTGGGCTGCAAACCAAAGTGTCGCAGGTTCGATTCCCAGTCAGGGCACATGCCTGGGTTGTAGGCCATGGCCCCTGCAACCACACATTGATGTTTCTCTCTCTCTCTCTCTCTTTCTCCCTCCCTTCCCTCTCTAAAAATAAATAAATAAAATCTTTAAAAAAAACTATGTGTAAAAAAAAGATACTTGCTAGTATCTTTTAAAAAATTCTATTGTATTATGTTAGGATTTATTAAGCCTACAACCAGATTGGAGGCAAAGATGCTGCAGTGATTTTTCCCACTATAGACAAAAGAGCACTGGATGGACCAAGAAGCAAGAAACACTGGTTCTATCTCAATGCTGCATTTTTGTTCAGGGAAGTGATTCATCTCTGTTTTCTAATTCCCAAACTAAAAAGATCAGATTATTTGTAAGAATATATAATCACAGTTCATGTACACAAAGATCAGATGAGAAAGATCAGACTTGAGTAGGATTCAGGAAATTTCTATCGATTGGAGCAAATCCCCAAGGGTCTCGAAAAGCAGGCAGTACGGTTTATGAGCTCTGAACTAGAAATATGGTCAGTAAAGAACTTGACCATGGGTTGGGATAAGAACCCAACATTTCTCTAAATTCTGGGCAAATTTAGATATCTGAGAAAAGGGACAGAGCACCAGCAATAGGGTTTAAACAATCCAGGGATTTTTTACAATCTAGCAAAGGATATAATTTCATGGTAGGATCTGACATACCCATGGAATTTAGGTAGGCACTCCAGGCTAGATGAGGATGTAGAGAAAAATGCAATCCCAGAATATGAGTGTTGCCCTGACAAAATATGGTAATGAAAACTGAAGACTCATTTAGTCTGGGAGTTAAAGTACGCAAATAGCACTGCCCAACAGAACTTTCTGAAACAGTGGAAGTCTTCTATATCTGCAATGTTCAATATGGTAGCCACTGAGCACATGGGCATACTGAGTGCTAGGAATATGGCAGGTGCAACTGGAGAACTAAATTTTAAATTTTATTTTAATTTTATTTATTTATTTTTTTACTTACTTACAGAATGGAAAGGAGGGAGAAAGAAAGGGAGAGAAACTTCAATGTGCAAGAGAAACATTAATCAATTGCCACTCACATGCCCCAAACTGGGGACCTGGCCAGCAGCCCAGGCATGTGCTCTGATGTGGAATTAAATGGATGACCTTTAGGTTTGCAGGATGACACCCCAACCACTGGGCCACACCTGTCAGGGCTTTACTTAAATTTAAATAACCATGTATGGCTTGTGGCTATCATATCGAGCAGTACAGCAAAAGTCCAACACAGTCCTATTATTCTTTTAAAGTATAGTCATAAAACATACATAATGAAAGAAGAATCCTTTTTTAAATGTAAAGGATATTATGTTTTTCTTTGCAGCCAGTATAAATGAGTGTGTATGTGTGCGTCACAGACACACACACACTGTGCGGTAACTTAATGGTTCCATAAAGCTAAACCAATTCCAGGAATTTTATAGGAATTCATGCCATTTCCAGAATAAACCTAGATTAATCACATTCTGGGCTCAATCTGAAGCTACATTCACCCACGATGAACCAGAAATCACCCTGGTCCCAGTGACCTTCTAAACTAAGGACAAAGTGAGACACAGCAAATGCAGGCTTAGCAGAATGCTCTTTGGCCTGCCTTCATCTTAACCTTAGACTAAATCTGGGCTCTAGAATTTGAAAGGGCACTACTCTGCTCTCGGTGGAATTCCTAATTGAATCAGCTGATGCAGACAAGGATATTCCTAATCATAGATTGTCCCTATGTTTCCCTAAGTACAATGAATAATAGAATCCTATAAAAGTCTAATTACATATTTCTAAACTGGACTCTGAACATAGAAATCCAGACATATTCCAATTTATTCCTACCCTGAAACAGTTAAGAAATGCAAGAGATAACCTAATGTCAAAACAGGTTTACTAATTACTGTACACAAAAGAATATGAGCAACTTGCAAGTATCTACATAAAAAAAAAGGGTTGGTACTGTTATAGAACAGACCCAGGCGGGGGGAGTGAATGATATACTATTACCAAATGGACCCACCCTTGTGCTCCGTGGGTCCCCCCATACTAGGTTTGCCTTGCCCACTGTGAGGGAAAGATGTCTCTCAATGCCAGAGATTGGTGAAAAGGAAAGGGAGCATTTATTTTAAAAGCTATACACACTTAGAGTAATGACTTAATGTCTTCATTTAAAATGCTAAAGCCCTTTGGAATACCCACACATGCACAAAGACCTTCCTTCTCCCTCTGCCCAGTCCGGGGTACCTTATCTCAGGAAAAGAAGTAGAAATCCATGGCTCAGGTTCCCAGCGCCACCAGCTGTGTCATTGCTGCCATCTCCAGTTAATCCAAAACCATGTGACACCTTCTCATGGCCCACCAGCAAGAGTCCTTTTACCCCTTTCCTTCCCAGCAAGGTCTCTCCTGCCTCCTAAGCCACGTGGCAAAAAGGGAGCACCCTAAAGCTTCATGGTCCAAACTTTTGCTAAAGCCACGTGGTCCCAAAAAAAACCCCAGCATGGCTGCTGTGCCTGGGTTTAAATCCCAGCGCCAATCTTCCCCTGCAGCACCATTTCTGACTCCTCCCACAATTGGCTACACTTTCTAGCATTCCCATATTTTTCCAGCTTTACTGGGCTGCCATAGTAAGTCCAGGCAGGTGTGGCCCCATGGTATGGAGCCAATCATCTCCAAGTTCTCACACAGGTGCTATAACCAGGGGGAGTTGCCTCCCAGTTACATCCAGAATTGAAGTCACTCCCATCCCCCTGGCTCAAAGCAGGGCCACAGCTATTTAACATATCTATGAAATCAGTTAAAGGTTATAGATATGTTAAATGACCACGCCAGAGGTTATCTACAAAACTGTTGCTGTTCACAACAACTCTCAATGTCCCTACTTCATGCATCCCATCCCCCAGTTCAGACTTGTGGGGGTGAGGACATCTTATATATATATTTTTTTCTAATATTTTCTGGACACCCTGAGTTTTGGACCCCATTACAAATTCCCATTTGCCTCCCCACTTTGGCTGCAGCCTGTTACAGTACAAGCTGCCTTTCTTTCACCCTAAGACAGTATACCAACTCCCAAGAAAATAGAGTGGAATCAAAATTAAAGTTTACATAACAAACACACTCAAAAGAAGCCCAAGCTTTGTTAGAAAAATGGACAAAATGTTCTAAAAGTAAATTGACTGAAAAGAAATTAAAACTAGAACATTGCTTCCTATAAGAATAGCTATTGTTTGTCTACGATATAAGACAACACATTCAAAATTCAAAAATAAAATTAACATTTTTAGCTTTATTGAGATATAACTGACAAATTAAAGTCAATATTTTAAGAGGTTAAAAGAACTAATAAAGTTGTCAGGTACCAATTATTTTTAAACTTACGGCTAAGAGTGTTCATCAACCCTCTTCAACCCAAAAAACACAACAAAAACATAAAAGTATAGATTCTTCGAAATGTTAAACCCAAGGATTTCCCTTTCTTCAAACACTCTAAACCCAAGAAATGAGAAATAATTCACTCTGGCCACTGGGGACATTTCTTCTGCCCAGTGACACAATCAGAAAGTTTACTTCTTTCATTATTTAACTTACTCATTCCCATCCTAATCAAATTACAGGAATGCAGGAGTAAGCAAGAGGATATAATTTCCCCTGAAGGCCCTGGCTGAGCAGCTCAGTTAGTTAGAGCACCATGCCAATACACCAAGGCTATGGGTTCCATCCTGGGTAGTATTGGGAATCAACCAATGACCAATGAATGCATAGATGGGTGGAACAACAAAATGATGTTTCTCTCTCTCTCCCTTGCTCTCTCTCTAAAATCAATCTTTAAAAAATCTTCAAATGAGGATTAAAATAAATCAGTAGATAAAAACAATTTTTAAAAAGAATCTTTAAACAAAATTAAATAAATTTAATTTCCCCTGAAGCCTATGACTGAGGCATAACTAAATTTATAACATGAGATACTTAAACACTGAGGAAAGCCGTGATGGTAAGGGAGGTGAGCCACCTCTGTGGCCTACAGAATGAACTGCAGATCTCTAAGGCAGATCTGATGAAGAACTTATCCAGGAATCAGTCTCCTCCAAAGCTGGGCAGGGAGGAAGTGTAGGGAGCACAGCTTTTCTAAAAGTATGAAAGGTGTCACTTGGAGACACTCTGGTTTCCTGAGGAAGGGAAGGAGACACTAAGCCATCTTGTTTTGTACATTTTAGGTCTTCTTTGTTTTCCACCATCAGTAATTGTTCTATCTCCTCTTTCAAAGATAAATTTGCTTGAAATTCTTTTTTGGGAATCATTAGGCATTCTTTCTGATTTGTTGCCTGGTCTTCTGACCCCTCTGACTCAGGGCAAATGATTTTCATACCGGAATCCTCACGGACTTCTTGTTTTATGGGAGGTAAATGTGGAAGTTCTGTTGTTGTTTTTCCACTCTTTGCTTCTTCTTTCAGCAAATTTCCATCTTCATTGGATGTAAAACTTAGAGCTTTATCTAGCCTAGAATTTTCACAAAGTAAGAAACTTCTTACTTTTTCCTCTCTCCTTGTTGTCTCTGTCACTGATTTCTTCGGATGTAACACTGTCCTTATTAAAAGTCCCTGTGCATTCATCCTATATTCTTTTGCAGCTTTCTCTCTGCGCTGCTTCTGGAAGTCCTTGAGTTGAAGCAGTTCCTCTGGAAGCTCCATGCATGTAGGCTAAGAAAAGAAAATGAACACCAGTCTACTGTAACTAAACTTCTGAATATGCCTTAAAACCACTTCTGCTATACTTAACAGTATTTGGCCAGCAAGAAGCTATTCAAATGTATTCTCACAGCACCCTCTAGTGTCTGTAACTATACTATGATTTTTCACGTAACAAATAATTTGATTCCAGTTTTGAGTGTGTCTTTGTGTGTCTATCAAAACTATACAGTAAAAAGTATGTCTCCCAACTGTGATTACATAAATACTACATAATGAATATATTTAGAAAATGTCTTCAACTTCTGGTCACGACAGTGGCATAGGTAAACATGGCTTGCCTTCTTCCACAACCACATCATATTTACAACTAAACTATAGAACAATTATTCAGAACCATCAGAAATCAAGCTGAACAGAAGACCTACAACTACAGAATTAAAGAAGAAACTACATTGAGACTGGTAGGAGGGGTGGAAATGCAGAAAGGTTGGTCCAACACCTATATGTGGCAGATAAAAATTGACAGGAGTATCTTAGGAGCAAAGGGTCCCAGCCCCAACCCAGGATTCCAGTACCAGGTAGAGAAGTCACCATATTTCTGGCTGTTAAAACTGGTAGAGACTTCCGGCCAAGATGAAGGCATAGTTAGACACACTGTGCCTCCTCGCATAACCAAGATTGAAACAACAACAATTTAGAAACAGAATAACAACCAGAACTGACAGAAAATTGAACTGTATGGAAGTCGGACAACAAAGAAGTTAAAATAGACCCGTTCATCCAGACCAGTAGGAGGGGCAGAGTCAGGCAGCTAGGCGCGGATCGAGACTCGAAGAGCAGAGACTTGAAGAGCAGTGCTGGGACTGGTCTGAGGTGCACAAGACCACAGCAGGTGGACCCTGGGCATGCGAGCAGCAGCTGACAGACCCCGGCCGAGGGGTGGCAACCAGCAGACCCAGCAAGGCAACGATTGTGAAGCAAGACACTGCGAGCAACCCAGGATCACAGCGCTGGGAAATAGAGCCTCCGGACACTGACTGAAAACACCTGTGGGCAGTTGAAGCACAGGGAGAGACTCCCAGCCTCACAGGAGAGTGCATTGGAAAGTTCCACGGGGTGCACAAACCCACCCACACGGGAATTAGCACCAGAGGGGACCAGTTAGTTTGGGGGAAGGGACCAAGGTCCGATGGAGAGTGGAGCATGCACCTTTGTTCCCTGTCGGACCCCAGCCCCACATACAACGTCACAACCCAGCAACTGGGGGGCCCCGCCCTGGTGAACACTTAAGGCTCCACCCCTCATATGTAACAGGTGTGACCAGACCAAAGGAAAAAAAAAGATGGCTCAAACAGAATTGAAAGCCCCACAACCAATACTTTTAAGTGACCAAGAGATAGCCAACCTATCAGATGCACAGTTCAAAGCACTGATGATCAGGATGTTCACAGAATTGGTTGATTTTGGTTGCAAATTAGATGAAAAAATGAAGGCTATGCCAAGTGAAATGAAGAAAAATGCACAGGGATCCAATAGTGATGGAATGAAAGCTGAGTCTTGCATCAGTGGACCAGAAGGAAGAAAAAAACATACAATCAGAAAAGAATTAAAAAATAAGAATTCAAAAAAATGAGAAGAGGCTTAGAATCTCCAGGACATCTTTAAACGTTCCAACATCCGAATTATAGGGGTACCAGAAGGGGAAGAGGAAGAGCAAGGAATTGAAAACTTATTTGAACAAATAATAAAGGAGAACTTCCCCATTCTGGCAAAGGAAATAGACTTCCAGGAAGTCCAGGAAGCTCAGAGTCCCATAGAAATTGGACCCAAGGAGGAACACACCAAGGACCATCATAATTATATTAGCCAAGGTAAAAATGAAGGAGAGAATCCTAGAAGCAGCAGGACATAAGGGGACAGTTACCTACAAAGGAGTTCCCATCAGACTGTCAGCTGATTTCTCCAAAGAGACCTTGCAGGCAAGAAGGGGCTGGAAAGAAGTATTCAAAGCCATGAAAGGCAAGGACCTACATCCCAGATTGCTCTATCCAGCAAAGCTTTCACTTAGAATGGAAGGGCAGATAAAGTGCTTCTCAGATAAGGTCAAGTTAAAGGAGTTCATCATCACCTAGCCCTTATTATATGAAATGTTAAAGGGGCTTATCTAAGAAAAACAAGATAAAAAACATGTATAGTAAAATGACAGCAAACTCACAATTATTAACCATACCCAAAACAAAAACAAAAACAAACTAAGCAAACAACTAGTACAGGAACAGAACCACAGAAATGGAGATGACATGGAGGGTTAGCAACAGGGGAATGGGGAGAGGAGAGAGGGGGAAAAGGTACAGAGAATAAGTATCATAGATTGTAGGTAGAAAACAGACAGGGGGAAGGCAAGCATAGTATGGGAAATGTAGAAGCTAAAGAACTTATGACACATGGACATGAACTAAACGGGGGGAATGTGGGTGGGAGGGGGTGTGCAGGGTGGAGGGGAATGAAGGGGGGTTAATGGGACAACTATAATAGCATAATCAATAAAATATATTTTAAAAAACTGGTGGGGATTGAAGCTGTGGAAGACAGAAACTGCTGGACTCCCTGCTAGTTCCTCTTAAAGGACCTGTGAGGCTCAGGCTCAGACTCACTCCCTCTGAGCTCCAGCATGGAGGCAGAAGATTAAAAGCATTAGAGACATACAGGGAAGAAATGAATTGTCCAGTATCAGATCAGAGATGGGGGGGCATTTTTCTACCAGACAGAAGTGTAGGCACAGGCCAGGTTTCCTTTTCTAAGCCCTCCCCAAACTAAGCCACACAGCCAGCAGACGGGCACCATATCTGAGACTCCAGCAACCTGGCTCACACTGTTTGCCCCACCCTAGTGATTCCCTGAGGCTCTTCCCCACCCAAGATTTGAGCCTACCCAAATATTTCCAGTGGCTTTTCCATGTGAATGGATTATCTTGGTCCATGCTTCAGATTTTCCTAAATTCAATCAAACAAACAGCTTCTGGCTTCAGTGAGCCCCATACCTCATGTTAGGTTGCCTCACGCAGCAGGAGCAACAGCCGGCCTTGCTTCAGATTGGCCTCTTGTAGGTACCTCCAAGCCCAGCACAAGTAGCAGTCATCTGCAGATCACTTTGTAACTTATACTGTGTGACTCTGGACTGAATACAGGTGGTGGCTGACCGTGCATGTGTCAACAACAATCAAGGCTCAAGTACAACAGGAGGGAGTATACAGCCCACACAGTGCCCACAGCTTAAGTACCCAGCTTGGATAATAGGGGAGGAAGCTGTGTACCGGACCCTAAAGGACACTCTACCAAGCCTGGGAGATGTGGCACCTCTATTTAATACATAGAATCAAACATACGGAGGCTACCAAAATGAGGAGACAAAGACACATGGCTCAAATAAAAGAACAGAATAAAACTCCAAAAAAAGAACTGAACAAATGGAGACAAGCAAGCTATCAGATGCAGAGTTCAAAACACTGGTTATAAGGATTCTCAAGGAACTTACTGTACTTTGCCATGTATGATGCACACTTTTTGCCCAAAATTTTCAGGGAAAAATAAGGATGCATGTTATACATGGGTATAATGATTACATACCATGGTATATAATAATGGGCATAACAATCCCAGGTATAATGCACACAAAACCATGGGTGTGCATTATACATGGCAAAATATGGTAGGGAGAACTTCAACAGAGTAAAAGATCCAGCCAGAAATGAAGGATACACTAATTAAAATAAAGGACAATTTATAGGGAATTAACAGTAGAGTAGATGAAGCCAAGGATAAAAACAGCCACTTGGAATATCAGGAAGCAAAAAACAACTAACCAAAGAGCAAGCTCTTCTTACAGAAGAGCAAGAAGAAGAAAAAAATAAGGATAGCCTTGGCTGCTATAGCTCAGTGGACTGAGCACTGGCCTGCAAACCAAAGAGTCACTGGTTCAATTACCAGTTGGGGCACATGCCTCGGTTGCAGGCCAGGTCCCCCACTGGGGGAATGGAAGAGACAACCACACATTCATGTTTATTCCCTCCCTCTCCACATTCCCCTCTCTCTAAAAATAAATTAAATTAAATTAAGATGGTGTAAAGAGCCTCTGGGACAACTTCAAGTGTACCAACATGAGTATCATGGGTGTGCTGGAAGAAGAGAGCAACAAATTGGAAACTTATTTGAAAAAATGACAGAAAACTTCCCTACACTTGGAGAAGGAAATAGACATACAAGTCCAGGAAGCACAGAGATTCCTAAACAAGTGAACAAAAAAACAAAACAAAAAACAAACAAACAAACAAACAAACAAAAAACGCCCGTACCAAGACAAAGAGAATCTTAAAAGCAGCAAAAGAAAAGAAGTTATTAGCTTCCAGTCAAGATGGAGGCATAGGTAGACACACTGTGCCTCCTTGCACAACCAAAAGAAGGACAACAACAATTTAGAAATAAAAAACAACCAGAACTGACAGAAAATCAAACTATATGGAAGTCTGACAACCAAGAAGTTAAAGAAGACAGTTTCATCCAGAGTGGTAGGAGGGGCAGAGATGGGCAGCCAGGTGGAGAGGACTTGTGGCGAGGCGGCAGCTGGAGGACCCAGGAAGGAGGTGGATTGTGGAGCAGGGTGGGCAAGGCTGCAGCTGGTGGACTGGGCGGTCCCACATTTGTACACAGATAAACCAAGAGGAACAACTAGGGAGCAAGACAGACTGCACAACCCAGGATCCCAGCATGGGAAAATGAAGCCTCAAACCACTGATTGAAAACACCGGTGGGGGTTGAGGCAGCAGGAGAAACTCCCAGCTGTACAGGAGAGTTTGTTGAAGAGACCCACAGGGTCCTATAGAACATACACAAACCCACCCACCTGGGAATCAGCACCAGAAGGGCCCAATTTGCTTGTGGGAAGTGGGGGAAGTGACTGAAATCCGGCAGAGAGCAGAGCAAGCGCCATTGTTCCCTCTCGGACCCCACCCC